CGGGAAAAATTTTGGCGCATTAATCATATTCAGACCGAAATCGGTCTGAATATAAATAAATCACCGCAGAATCAATAAGATTCAAATCAAGTGTAAATATTTGGCACATAAATTAATTACGGACTGATTTCGGTCCGAATATATTCGTAAAAAATCTTCCAGCACACATTTTTGTTCTTTTCATTTAAGGACATGACCATCTCCTCGTGATCTAAATCCATTGGAATATACGGACCGATCCCGGTCTGCATATATGCAAACAATCGAGAAGCCTCCATGCTTTTCATTTTTCAAACCGATTTTGGTCCGAATATAATAGAAAAAATCCAGAAACTTCTTCCAGTGCACATTTTTATTCTTTTCATTTAAGGACATTACCATCTTCTCGTGTTCTAAATCCATTCCTGCGAAAACCAGTTGCATGTGCATCGACCCTAGAGTCCCTTTGAACCACAAAACCATTGATTGCCTAGCTGAAATTATCTTACGATACTACGGAGTAATCTCGTTTCAAAACCACGAACGTATAAGTTAAAGGTTATTAGAGATAATGTTACGTAATGCTCTTTCGAAGTAATAAGCAAATAAAATTCATTTTTTTTCTTAAGGTTAACCACTTTGGCTTGCAAACATTCGGAATGTTACGGTTTAAAACAAGAGTAGTGTCACGCCCCAAAACCCAATTTCGAGACGCGACAGACGCCGTGCACTCGTGAGACGAGTCCCACAAATGCACAAGGCTCGGAACTTACTGAACAAAATCAGTTTTGATACCATAAAATTTCCAATTAAAATCTAACTTACAAGAGCGTGGTATACATGTATCTAAAATCTATGTTAAATCTCAAGTGGCTAGCCTTTTATCACGTCACTCCCCTTGATTTCTGAGTCTCGGGGCACACTACCTGAAATGGTGGACGAGAAAAACGAGGTGAGATAACTTAGTAAGTAAAATATGGATTGCCCTTAATTAAACTTATAGCATGCCAACAAGTGCAATCACGAAAAACGGATACAGTACGGGCACGAAATAGACGTCTCCTCCATAGGTCACGGCCAGTGTTTAACACTCCCACTGGCAGGCAACAGGAAACGAACCGGTTCTACAGAAATACATGTCGACATGTGCTAGCGTTTGTACCTCCCCCACTAGCGGGGTCACGAATAACATATCGACAAGTGCCGACATGTGCTAGTGTTTATAACCTCCCCCACTAGCAGGGTCACGAATAACATGACCACATCGGAGACAAAACAGG